AAGTCATACTCAATAATAGTTTTAGACTTATCCAAGTGGGAGACTGTTGGATTAATGTCTAAGTCCATAACTATAATTTGGTATGTACTTGACCCGACCCGGCATGGTCCATTTGGGTTGGCACTTCACCGACAATTTATATGGATAGTCGTTTGAGAATACTATATTTATGATTTATATTAAATATTATAAGTTCTAATATATTAATATGGAATCATATTATTTAATTAGTATTGATCAAGAATTAATTTAGAATTAATTAAGTGATCAAAAAGAACTAATTAAATATGGACTCTTATAAATATGAATGGGCCAAGTTCATTTAGGTGGGCTAAGCTTTCATGGATGGTCCATGGAGCTTTTTAACCCATGGATCATATGTAAATGAAAGGTCATGGGTATGAGGGTTTTTTTACATGGATGTAACCCTATCCTCCATATATATAAAGGGGTCCTTGGCTCGCAAAATTGGCACAAATGTGTGAAATAAGAGTGGGCCGATTTTAGTGTGCATACATATTCTCTCAAGTTCTTCCAAGGTGTTTTGGTGATTTGTGATTCCATTTGAGGCTTCCACACTATTGGGGCTAAGCTCTTAAAGCTTGAAGACATCAAGCTACATCAAAAGGTATGTCATCTAACTAGAACTTTGTAGTATAGGTGCTTCATAGATGCGAGTTAGGATGAAACCTTGGAATAGTTAATATTTGCATGTATAATAGAGAAAACATAGATCCAAGGTTTATAGGGTTGCATGTACACCATAGGAGTGTTAGAATGCTCAAAACCCAACACAAGGTGTGTAGAGCGCCTGAGTTCTTTGAGGTTAAGGACCCCATCGCTAGCCGTCGTTGGATCCCTGACATGAAGAATGCTCAGTGTATGAGCTTTTGCCCTGAGGGGGCAGAGGGGGGATTCGCGTCCTGCCTGCTGAGGGACAGAGCATGAGACTGGTGGGAGGAGGTTACCCGAGTCATGGGGGAAGACATAGTGGCAGTGATGACATGGGAGGACTTTGTTCAGAGGTTTCAGAGGGAGTTTGTACCAGCTATCGAGGTGCAGTAGCTGGCGAGGGAGTTCCGGGACCTTCGCCAGACTACAAAGACTTTGGTGGAGATTACCACCAAATTCAGAAAGAGAGCATTGTTGGTCCCGCAATATGTTGCGGATAAGGAGATGAGGAAGACGAGATATCATGATATGCTGATGGATGATATCAGGGAGTTCGTGAGCTTCTCGGGGTGCAAGGCCCTGAATGATATGATCGAGAAGGCCTGCGAAAAGGAGATTGAGTTGGAGCTTCGGACGAAGTGGAAGTCGGAGCAGGTTCAGGAAGCTGTGGGTCAGGCTAAGAGACCCAAGACCTCTGATACCCATACCAGAGGCTAGCAGGTTCGGGCCGTTGCGCCAAGTGTGGCAAGCCGCATAGTGGAGCTTGCCAGTCAGCAGGTTCAGGAAGTTTTATTTGTTGCCAGTCGGGCCACGTGAGCAGAGATTGCCTCAGGAGGGCTCTAATTTGCTTTCATTACAATCAGACCGGCCATAAAAAGGCCGATTGTCTGAGGTTGTATAGGGGAGCAGTGGTGGTGCCTGCGCCAACCATCTTGAGGATTATTGATGGCCGCCAGGGCAAGGCGGAGGCTCCTGTGGTGAAAAGCAGGGCTTTTCAGCTGACCACCGATGAGGCTCGTGCAGCGCCGAATGTAGTTACTGGTATGTGTTTTAACCCTATCTTTTATTGCTTTCTTTTGTTTATGCTTATGTGTATTATGATCTTGTATAGGGACCTTTTTGGTCAATGATTTGTCTGCTCATGTTCTATTCGATTCGGGGGCTACCCGATCCTTTGTATCTCTTGCGCTCAGCAAGAAGTTTCGAGATGCCCTGGGGACCTTGGATTCCCCCTAGAGGCGGAGATTGCGGATGATCGTACCATGAGTGCTTCGAGGGTTTTCCGTGGGTGTGTCATGAACATGTTTAGCGAGAGATTCTCTATTAATTTGGTGTTGGTTCCCGTGAGAGGATCAAAGGTTATCTTCGGGATAGATTGGTTGGGCCCCAACAGGGTCGTGACTGATTGCGAGTGGCAGCTAGTGGTTCGAACCCCAAGTGGTGGAGAACTTGATATTTTTGGTGGGAGAGCTTTGCAGAGGCCAGCTCTCTGTTCAGCTGCGAGGGCCAAGAGATATCTGCATCAGGATTGTTCTGGGTTCTTAGCTGATGTTTCTGACACATGGGTTGAGGACACGACAGAGTTAAATAGGGTACCCATTATGCGGGATTTTCCTGATGTTTTCCCCGAGGATTTGCTTGAAGTGCCTCCCAAGAGGCATGTTGAGTTTTAGATTGATTTGGTAGCCGGTACGGCTCCGATAGCCAAGGCGCCGTATCGCCCGACACCACCTAAGATGTCAGAGTTGTCTACGCAGCTACAGGAGCTGCTAGACAAGGCTTTTATTCGTCCGAGTAGTTCTCCATGGGAAGAAGCGATTCTATTTGTGAAGAAGAAAGATGGTTCACACAGGATGTGCATTGACTATTGTGAGTTGAACAATCCAACGGTACCGTTACCCACTTCCTAGGATTGACGATCTGTTTAATCAGCTTCAGGGTGCATCTTGGTTTTCTAAGATTGGTTTATGGCCGGGATATCACCAGATGAGGGTCAGGGATGAGGATGTGCAGAAGACATCCTTCAGGACTTGTTATGGTCATTACGAGTTCGTGGTGATGTCATTCGGGCTCACCAATGCACTGGTGGCGTTCATGGATCTCATGAACCAGGTCTGCAGGTCGATGCTGGATCGGTCTGTGATTGTATTTGTCGATGATATTCAGGTCTATTCCAAGACCAACGAACAGCACGAGCAACATTTGCGAGAGGTGTTGGAGATGCTAAGGAGGGAGAGGCCTTATGCCAAATTCTCCAAATGTGAGTTTTGGTTACGCGAGGTGCAGTTTCTGGGGCACATCGTCAACCAGAAGGGAATCTTGGTTGACCCAAAAAAGATCGAGGTTGTGATGCATTGGGAGGTCCCAAGGACCGTATCTCAGATTCGGATTTTCTTAGGTCTCACAGGGTATTATTGGAGATTTATCCATGATTTCTGCAAGATTGTTGTGCCTTTGACCCGCCTGACAAAGAAGAGTTTGACCTTTCGTTGGGAGCCTGATCAATAGTTGGCTTTTGAGACTCTGAGCCGAAGATTGTGTGAGGCCCCGATTCTCGCTCTCCCTAAGGGTTTGGATGATTTCGTGTTTTACTGCGATGCCTTTATTACGGGTTTGGGAGCTGTTCATATGAAGTAGGGCCACGTGATTGGTTACGCTTCTAGGAAGCTGAAGCCTCATTAGGCGAACTACTGCACTCATGATTTGGAATTAGGAGTTGTAGTTTTTGCCCTCAAGATCTGGAGGCACTATATTTATGGTGTCCGGTGTACTATCTACACCGACCAAAAGAGTTTGAGATATTTGATGGATAAGCCAAATCTGAATATGCTGTAGCGGATATGGTTGGATGTGGTAAAAGATTACGATTGCGAGATTTTGTACCACCCTGGGAAGGCCAATGTGGTGGCCGATTCTTTGTGCCGCAAGGCGGAGAGTACTCCTTTCAGAGATGTTTTCTTAAGGATGGTCGTCACCTTGCCTTTATTAGATTTAATCAAGGAAGCTTAGGTGGAGGGTTTGAAAAAAAGAAAATTGGAAGGTCGAGCGGATCAGGGGACAAGTTCCCTTGTTTATCAGGGATAGTCGTGGATTATTGACTCAGTGTGGTAGAGTTTGGGTCCCGACATTAGGTGGGGTGAGACAGAAGGTTCTGTAGGAGGCGCATAAGTCAAAGTTTTCTATCCATCCGGGGGCCACTAAGATGTACAAGGATTTGAGGTTGATTTATTGGTGGCCCTGTATGAAGAGGGAGATAGCTTGGTTTGTCGAATGATGTCTGACTTGCAGAAAAGTCATGGCCGAGCATCAGAGACCCCACGACAAGATGCAGCCTTTACCCATTCCCATGTGGAAGTGGGAGGAGATCACTATGGATTTCAACACAAAATTGCCAAGGAAGGCACACGGTGTTGATTCTATCTGGGTCATTGTGGACAGACTGACTAAGAGTGCACATTTCATACTGATTGCCGAGAGCATATCCACGGAGAAGCTAGCAGATGTTTATGTCCGGGAGGTGGTAGTTCAACACGGGGTGCCAGTTTCGGTGGTCTCGGACCGAAATGTTCGTTTCACCTCCACGTTTTGGAGGAAATTTCATGAGGAGTTGGGTACTCAGTTATATTTTAGTGCAGCATACCACCTTCAGACCAATGGCCAGAGCGAGTGGACGATCCAGATGCTCGATGATATGCTATGGGCTTGTGTGTTAGATTTTGGAGGGAGTAGGGATACTTACCATCCACTGGCCGAGTTCTCTTACAAGAACAGTTATCATGTCAGTATTGATCGACCACCATTTTGAGATGTTGTATAGGAGAAGATGCACGACCCAGATTTGTTGGGCGAGGTTGGTCATTGGGTCATGGGAAGCACCGATGTGGTGCTTAAGACTACCACTACAAATAAAATGACATTTAGTGGCATAGAAAAAGTACCACTAAAAACTGAAAAGTGCCACTAAAGCCACCCTGGGAATCAGCGGCACAAAAAAATAGTGTCACTAAAAGTCGTGCCACTAAAGACCTTTAGTGGCATTTTTTGGTTGTGTCGTTGCAGCCTTATTAGGTTTTAGTGGCACTTTTCTATTATGCCACTATAACACATGTAGGTTTTAATGGCACTATTTTTATGCCACTATTTAACTGTAAAAATAAATATTATTTACATGATTTTAGTGATATTTTTAAAATAAAAAATTATACTAAAAAATTAGGTCTGGTTTTTTAAATTTTAAATAGAATATAAATTTAAAATAAGACAATTAAGATAATATATAGAAAATACAATATCATTACTTTAAATCAAACTTGTCTAACAACAATATTCTCACTACTCAAAACACAATTGTCTCCAAAAAAAAAAGATTAATAAGCCTAAATGTTGTGATAGTACTCCAAACATAATACTATTGAAGTCAATACTTGTTGAGGAAGAAACATAAAACTTGATTGACCTCTAACTTTGTATAATTATTCATCTTGAGTTTTTCTTCTAGGCAAATGGCTCATGTGGTAACGAGCATGACACCATATGAATCAACAAATTTGTCACCCTTAGAAAAGAACATAACATTGTATGAATCCATAATTTTGTCTCGCCTCCTACAAGAAAAATGAAAAAAAAACTTCAGTAAGTGAATAATCAAGAAAAAGGAACAATTTGTAAACATTGGTTTCCTTAATAGAATTCCTTCTCAGATACTACAATTTTAAACGCTTGAAGGTATAAATAAAAAGAATAGCAATGTCCTTCTCATTTATAATTTTTTTTCTAATTATAGCATTATATTATGAATAATTTTAATAGGTACCTACAACCACAATAGGCAACCATTACAACATATTAACAATTTGTATAAATATATTATTAAATGGATAAAAAAGTACCTTTATGTAACTAAGGATGATGAAACAAGAATAATTTTGAGAATGTTGCCTTAATACGTCTCGACAAAGGGTACCTGTAATGATGTACCATAAGAAAATTAAAGAATATCAAGAAGAGATATCCTAGTTCAAGAAACATTTTGATAAGAAAAAAGAACAGAAGTGCAGTAGTTTTGTTAAACTTTTTTTTTCTAATTATAACATTGAACTTTGAAAGTACAATGCTATAAGTTTACAACATTATTAGTTTGTTACCAAACTACTCCTCTAAATAACATATCACAAGCTCATAAAAACCCTTGAAATGATAAAAAAAGGAAAAAAGACATGAAATTTACCAAACTACCCCTTTGCGAAAGAATAGTTAATACACATTATAACATGAAGATTTATCAAATTTTACAGCAATTCCATGTTACATCCCCTTACTATACCAATAAGCTAATAGTAGAACCGGTAATTATGTCCCTAGTTCATGATAAATCAACATACCTTCAGTTATTAACATCATAACAAACAGACTTGGGCATGTGTGTTTACTACACTAATACACTATCAATTCATACTAACAAATATTAGCTTGGCTTCATTGGTTAAAATCTGTTGTTGCAAGGATTCATGAAAAATTAATGAAAATAAAATATAAAAAAAGCCTAAAGAGTGGATTTTTTTCCAATGTATGATAAACGGAAAACATAAGCATGCCTTTGATCTTATATACTCCGTTTATAGTTGTTTGCTTTATTTCCTATTACTATTTGTTTTGATTATGCGACTTAATATAATATCAAAATTTGTATGAAAATTCAAACCAAGAACCCAAATTGGGTTATCTTGGAAACTCATAAACAAAAAAATTAGATGAAATTAAAGTAGCCATGTCAAAACTGATGCATTTTCACCATAAAATCAGGAAAATGAGAGTGAAATTTAAACAACTATGAAAATATAAAACCCAAAAAAAGGTAAAACGATTAGACCAGATTAAAGTAATCACTAGAAGAATAACAGAAAGAAAAAATGAATATTTGTTAGAACTTACATCCTGACCCCATTCTTATATTTCCTAATCTTCATAATCCAGTTAACAAAGAGAGAATCGGTCCATATAAAAAAAATATTTGAAACTGAAAAAAATGTTCATCAGATGATATATAGAATTCTGATTACCCAAAGAGAGAATGGGAGTTCTTGTGAACTTTTAAGAGGTACCTGTTGATAATGATTGACGATAGCAAATGGAGTGGAACAATACCCGCTACAGTTGACTATAATAATGTCAATGTCGAGAGGGGAGAGCTGCGTTTTAGACAGAAGGTCTTCAAAAACTGGGAACATAACCATTTGAGCTTCGTTAATGACATCTTCATGAGCTGATCTTGGTGGGATGTAGTGTAGAGCTGGAGGAATGCACGTCTTTTGACTTTGCCCTGAAGACACCAAAACTCTAGACATGAAATCAACACTTTTTTGGTCAAGAGAGTGAACGATACGTGAGTGTTCAAGGAAAGAAAAAAAGGGTACTCTCCAAAAGTGTGGTAGCTTTAGGCAGGAGTAGTCTACAAGTTAGATTTCTGAAGAAAGAAATAGGGACTTGAATCTGAAACCTATTTCCCAAATAGATTCATCTTCAAACGCCACAACCCAAATAGAGAATCAACACATAGTAAAACCGTAAATTGGGGATAAAAATTTACCTTACAACAATCTTCAAAATCCAATCTAAATTACAAACATGATACTTTGCAAGCCCTAGTCGCAAAATCTGCTGAAAAGGAAGATTCAGACAAGAAGAGACGTAAAGAGAGTGATGGATAGGGGATGGTGTGTCTATGCAAGTGAAAGAGGAGTGAGAAGAGTGTATGCACATAGAATGAGCAAGGGAAGAAATGAGTTGAAACATAAGTCGATTTGGGGTTGGGGTGGGACGATGGTGTTGATTTTTGGAGGGTGGGGATTAGGTCAAAAAAATTGGAGATCAAGAGGGAAGATGAAAACGAATTCGGGGTGGCGGAAAACTTTTAATTTTCAGGGTTCAAAGCGGCAAAACTAAAACTGATTATGCCACTAAATGTAATTTAATTTGTAGTGTACAGAGTTGATTCAGTAGGTGCACGAAAGATTGCGGGTCGTGAAAAGTCGACAGAAGAGTTATACTGATCGACGACGTTCAGACCTCGAGTTTTAGGTAGGGGAATTGGTACTGCTGAAGGTGTCACCTTGGAAATGTGTCATCCGATTTCGGAAGCAGGGCAAGTTGGGCCTCCGATTTATTGGACCCTTCAGGATTACTGCCCAGGTAGGCAGGGTTACATACCTACTTGAAACATCCCAAAAATATAGGCCAAAAATTTCATTTTTAAAACATTAATAATACCATAAGTATCATCATCATCATATAAAATCATAAATGATGTATCTCAAAATATAGTAATATCTGTCAACATCTCAAAATCTCATATCAAATATCAGAGTAAATCTCCCAGGCTAGAAAACTGTGGTGTGTGTCATGCGATCATCCCGAGCCCTTCCCCTTGCTAGTGGAAGTACCTGAAACCAAAACTGAAAACTGTAAGCACGAAGCTTAGTGAGTCTCCCCAAACCACTACATACCATACACATAATCATGCAACTAGGAGATACGGGCCCCACCCACTCTCATGGAGATTCGGTCCCCGCCTACACTCTGTTGTCTAGGAGATTCGGGCCCCGCCCACAATCCGCTATCTAGGAGATTCGGGCCCCGCCTACACTCCGCTATCTAGGAGATTTGGGCCCCACCCACACTCCGCTGTCTAGGAGATTCGGGCCCCGCCCACACTCCGTTGTCCGACATGCACACAAGTATCACACAGACAACAAGTATATTTACTTCTATCAATCAATCACATAACTATACTCAAATAATACTATGAGTTTCGGGCCTGCCCACACTCGGCTGCTACGAGTTTCGGGGCCCGCCTACACTCAGCTACTATCATATCATATACACAGGCCGACCTTGGTGTCGTAGACCCGTTCCTACTGAAGGAAACTCACCTCGTAAGACTAACTGCTGAAAACTCGAGTGAAAAATCCATGACTGCTACTCCGGCGACTCCCCGACTATCAATTTCATAATAACACTTAATCAAAATCTGATAATCGTTCTTAGGGTAAAATGACCATTTTACCCCTGGTCAAAGTCAACATCCTGGTCAAAATCAAAGTGAAGGTCAACTCCCAGTCAACCCCAATTCGTTAAGTTATCTCCCAACTCGACGAGTTCATGCACTATAACATCCTGTTCTGGATCGTCCGTGATTTAGGGATTCGTGGGCTACAAACCGGGCATGAGGAAGTCTCGGGGCTGCGACGAGTTGAAGCGTAGGGGTTCTCGTCGCTTTTACGTACATATGAGGATCATGGGAAACGGACTTATAACAAGGGAGCTATGACAGTTTGAAGATTGGGCAAGATAAGTCCTTTAATTGAAAAAGGTGGCAACGGAGTACACTGGGCGTACGTGTGTGTACGCTTAGCGTACTCATGTGCGTGAATTTTAAGCGGATCCACCTAGTACGTTGGGCGTACAAGATGGTACGTTGGGCGTACTAGGCAGAGAAGGAAACCCTAAATAAGGGGAGGTGTCCCTATATAAAGAATGAGATGTCCTCATTCCTGGCCACCATTCTCAGTCAACAAACCCTTCCAAAACCCTAAACCTTTGTTCATAGAGCTTGTGAGTGCATTTGAGAGCCTTTGAGTGACCTTGTGTGTTCTTGGAGTGAAGAAGAAGCTTTGGAGAAGAAGGAGTAAGAGTCCAGGCCCTTGGATCTGAGCATATATCTGTTGGGAGCTTCATATTGAGGTATAAAGCTTCAAGGTTTCTTACTATTTTGATTTATGCATTATAGTAGAGTATTTTAGGGTTTTTGTCCCAAAATTTTGAGACTTTATGAGATATTGAGCTTCAGAGACTTTGATAAACCCTTTTGAGTGCAATTAGTGGTGCAGTATCATAAAAATCAAGCCTTGGTCGTTGGAATCAAGCCATTCAAGAGAAATGAGCTTTTTGAGATGAGAGAATGTGTGTTTTGTGTGTTTATGACCATATCAGCCATGCAAAGGCTTAAAGTCACTGACTTTATGGAGTAAGAGCTATTAGGGAGTCCAGATCTGAGAAATGAGCTAAGGTCTTAACGAGTTAAGACCAAGAGAATGGACTAAGCAAAACTGGGCGTACGCCCAGCGTAATTCCAGTACGCCCCGCGTACTGGGTTGGTGTCCCCGATCAGATTCGTGTATGCTAGAGTACGCTGAGCGTACCAAGGGATGTACGCCCCGCGTAACCTCACTGTGAGCTTTTTGGGCTGAATTTTTTATAATGGGCCTTGAGGGTTGGGCATGGATCTTTGGGCTTGTGTATTAGAGACTTTGAGCAGAGAAATATTATATTATGCCTTGGGCCCTTGTGTTGGGCTTGTCACTTGGACTTGAGAGTTGGGCCTCGGGAGAGCCCAATCATTATCGGGCCTTGGTGGGCCCAATGATTTTTAGGTTATTAATGGGCTAGTTAGTGGACTACCTGTAGACCTAAAGAGTGAGGATTTCGACTTAGATCTTAATGGAGTAATTGTGGATTTTTGTCAAGTGTTAGAGACCGGTGCAACAGCAACATCTATAGGAGTTGTTCATCATCCGAGGTGAGTCTTCTCACTATACTTACCTTGAGTGGTAATCTATGTGTGACTGGAGGGTCGTATGTGCATATACTGTGTATTGAGATATCCTGCTTATTGTCTTTGTGATTTATGTTGTGTATATTTATGAGTTTACTGAGTTAGGACCGGAGGGTCCATATGAGTTACGGCCGGAGGGTCCACCTGAGTTGTGGGACTGGAGCGTCCCATTGAGACACATTGACCGGAGGGTCTTATTGAGCTATAGTCATGAGAGGATAATGAGATATGTGTGGTATTTTGGGGAACTCACTAAGCTTCGTGCTTACCGTGTTATGTGCTACATGTTTCAGGTTCTTTTCAGGATCGCGGGAAGGCGTCAGTTTGATTGTACACACCAGAGAAAAGAGTTATGCTTTGAGGATCCTGGATTGTAAATTAAATAAATGGGATTTTTGTGAAAGGTGTTTTGAGAATTACGTGATTTTAAATGAAAATTTTGTTTGAAAATTTACGTTGTTTCAAGTTGGTATCAGAGCCTTGGTTTGAGGGATTCGGATGCACCTACGGGTGTGTTTGGACTCAAATTGAGGATTTGAGAAAAAAATTCAAAAGAGATAAATTTTTCTAAAATGAGAAAGAGTTTAAGAGAAAACGAGTTGGAGCCGTGTGTACAATCAGCCAGAGCCGGAACGGTGATTTCCCAAAATACCCTTACTTTTGTGTTATGAGATATTATGAGATATTTTATGAGATATTATGCATGTTAGAGGGTAGGCTAGGTATTTCATATTTTAGGACTAGAGTGGCCTGATTTGTGATGCCTTAGCCTAGGAGTTGCTGCTATCTGTGATGTGTTTTGAGTATGAGCTGAGTAAGAGTATTTAGCAGGAATCACCTAGAGAGAGTTATGAGTTGAGTGATGATCTAGTAGAGATACCTAGATGTTCATTTGAGGAGTTTACTGATAGAGTAGTGAGATACCCATGAGAGGAAGGGATGCCTGAATATGGTAAGGTCTCTCAGAGTTGCGTATATAGCAAGTGGAGTTGTGTGCTAGAGTGATTCGATGCCTGAATGCTGCTTGCTTTGTGCTTTGTGGAACTTTTGATGATGGGAGACAGCTACTAAGTGAATATGACGATATTCAGGAGGTAGATGGCTGGCATCATAAGGAGTTGTTCAGCAGCTGATGGCAGAAGAGTGTGAGAACATAGGAAGAGCCTAGGAAGTGACTTGAGTTACATGAGTACACTGATGGATGAGGGTATTCGCTGGAGGGCGAACATGTGTATCGGGATTGGTGATCGAGAAGGTTGAGCAGCTACTTAGGAAATCTGGGACGGTCCATGTGGAAAGTATGGGTAGATGTGGCAGGTAGTATGGGCCCGTACTACTGAAAGCAGAGGACCCATACTCGAAACAGGGAGAATACCAGAGGTTCTAAGTAGCAGATTGAGAAGAGAGAACATGGTTCGAGTACCATGATTCGTAGCAGATTGAGAAGAGAGAACATGGTTCGAGTACCATTATTCGTAACAGATTGAGAAGAGATAACATGGTTCGAGTACCATGATTCATAGTAGATTGAGAAAAGATAACATGGTTCGAGTACCATGATTCGCAGCAGATTGAGAAGGGATAACATGGTTCGAGCATCATGATTCGTAGCGGATAGTACTTTTGAATTTACTAGTTGTCCTGTTGTGATTGTCTAGACGGAGGACGGATATGATAGAGTGTGGGGCCAGAGGGCCATGTTGAACGAGTTTCAGTAGGACATACTTGGAGAGGGAAATCGAGTTAGTTCTGAGAGATTCCATTGGTGAGATTCCAGTCGGATTCGCAAGACTCAGGAATGAGTAGATATGAGATTTTATTACGGTCTGAATGGAGCAATCAGGCGATAGTTGAGATGTCACTTTTTGTGACGAGAGTTGCGTTGTTCCTGTTTCCTGGGAGAAGCAAAATAGATATCGAGCTTCCGGTTTCAGAGTTGGAGGTAAACCCTGCGGGGTAGCATATGGTTGCGACCTTTTCATCAGAGTATTTGAGCAACATGTCTACTGCGAAGTATTTCCTTTACCATGAGAGAGTCATTAGTGGGGACTGAGATAAAAGAAAACAAGAAAGTACCTTCCTGGGTGAGTCATACTTTTTAGCAGCAATTGCATGTGATTAAGAGGAGTATACCAGGGCGGTGGCCCTCGTTGCTTATGTTGTGTATCGGCTGTGAGAGTGAAGTCTCCTGTTGCTATGATGATCCACACGATGGGACGTTGGATGAAGGATCAGAGACAAGGTGTGTGATTGTGCATTATTTCCA